ACCTGTGGAACTGAGCTGAAGGGAAGCAGTTTTCCTCCATCATTTTCTTGGGGATATAAAATAAACAACAGGTAATCCATTTTGGTTTACTGATTTAGTAATCCTACCAGTTCTTCAGTAATCTGTGAAGTTGTCTGGGAAAACAGAGTACAGCTGAATTTCTTTGAAGGCTGAGAGCAATTTTTTTCTTAAGTAATAAGGAATGGAGATGACTAGATCAACATTATACTGCCACTTCCTTTGCGAGTTCCTTTTAGAGACAGTTTAAGGAAGCTTTTAGGGACCTGGTTTATGCAAGGATGACAGTTTAGTGCTTTTCAGCCTTTGCATTTTGGGATTTCCATTTTGTCAATCTCCTGGTCTTAAACATTGTCCTATTTGTATCTCGGGAACTCCAGACTATGAACAAATATGCAGCTGGCCCCATGGAGTCTGAATGGATCAAGACGGTGACGTGACTGCAGTAGACTCTTATTTAGGCCTGTACAAAGTCAATCCAAGGACAGGAGGGAAAACCCTCCTGCTATAAAGCGAAAAAGGTGAAGCTACAGTTAATGGGAAGTTAACTGATCTTGGGTTTGGTCCTCATGCTTATGTATAAATTGGAAGATTAAGGCACTTTAATCAGTTGAGACGAGTACTAGTGAGTGTGGGGACAGGGACTGTTGAAAGCCCATTTGCTTTATATTTTTAAGATTTGTTTAAAAACAGAAGAAAACAAAAGCAATGTTATTGGTCAGAGACTTTTGGTTTGGTGTGTGTTATGTTGAGCTGCAATATGAACATATTTCCCTCCAAATGGAAGTGATTTGGAGCTTGGACTTCAGCTTGGGACAAATTAAGGATAGCATTAACTATAAGATTTGGAATTTCAATGTCCGAAATCTTAATCTTGTGTGGATTTGAGTAACTTTGAACATATGGTTTTGTACTTACTTTAATCAGTAGTTATTTTTATTAACTATGTGCAGATGGGCTGCATCTCAAATTCTGAAATGGATTAGAAATAGCAAAGAAAAATTTGATTTATTTTATGGACTCAAGTGGGAAAGACAACATCACAAATATGAGGTGAGATGAGGTAATCGTTGTAGCCATTTGTTCAGGCAGTTTAAGTGTTAATTTTTGTGCTGGCAGCACCCTGTACCAAGCTGCAGAAGAGACAAGCTTTTTCTGATTGTGTGTTTTAGCCAGGCATGCTATGAATGCTGCATGTTGGAGCCCTAAGGCAGAGGATGGGCTGTGCTCTGCTGTAGCTGCTTTTCTGAAAAAAAAAAACCCAACCACCTAACCTCCAGGTATGAGTACCCAAGAAATTGTCATGTGATACAACACAGCATGGATTTTTACAGCATGTTAGATTCTCTCTAGTATCTGTTTACAAGCATGCTCTTACACAACAGTACATGCAAGGCAGAAAATTGCTGGTGTAGTTGAAGGTATCTTCTGTGTAGTCGTAGCCTTTGAGTAAAGCTTTATCTAGAATAAACTTTAAAGCTGAAATTCAGTGAGGTCACAGACATAAGGTTTACGAGTGTCCTCTTTACTACCAGAACTGTGGATAAAATTAAGCAAGGAGAAAAATCATGTGAAGGGAAATATATTTCATTTAAGGGGTGGGAATTGAGATCCAAGTTATTAAATGGAAAAAAAAAAAAAAGAATAGTTGAAGTCTCTTATGTGTTGCTCGCTATTCTTAAAGCTATCAGAATTATTGTTTAGCAGTACATCATGTTTGCCATTTAGTATTTCAGACTTCACAAGGGGTTGCCAGTACAAATGACAAACATAAAAGCAGTTTCCTCTTCACATGGCTTATGTGCATATAATTCAAAGCTGCTTTGCATATTTTTAGCAGAAGAAACATATCAGAAGTAAAATGTCAGCTGTTTACTTGCTTTAGCAAAACACTCATGAATGCTTTCTGCTTTGATGTGAAGTTTTAATTGCTCACAGAAGCCTGACAGACCTCAGTACTTTGCTAAAGCGGGAACTGCAGAATAACATATTTTGAACTCTGGGCTTTGTAACCCCCATGTTCCCCTGTTTTTGTAAGAAAGCTGTGATCAGCCTGGGAAATGAACAGAATCCTTTGCTCCTTTAGTGGTACGAGCTTATTGTTTTTATAAAGATGCCATCTGCCATTCTGTAAAATCTAGTTTTATCTAATTTATGTTAATACAACTTCTGAATATTTTCTGTTCTAATTGAAACCAGGTATTTTGATAGCTAGTTTCTCATTAGATGTACTGATTAAGGTAATTGAAACAAACCATCTTGGTCACCTCTCAGCCTATGACACTGTAACAGTGCTTGTACATGGCAAGTGGGATTGTGCTGTCTCCCTGTGAAATCACATTAATAGCAGAAACTGGCACATTTAGAATCATATGTTAATGTTAAACATCATTCCCCTCCTAAACTGAAAATATTATGTTAGTTTATATTACATGTATTTAACCAATTTGTAGACATGATTTTCATGTTCTTTTCTAAAAATGTTAACTGAAGATGTTCAGTTAACAGGGTTATTAGAAACAGTCTAAATGACTTTTTTCTACTGCAAGTCACAGGTTTTAGTTAATATCTACCTAGAATTAACAGTTGCTATTCCCACTGCCAAATGGTATTTGTACTGATTTACTGATATGTTGGGTGCTAATTCCCTCAGACTCAACTACAATTATCCTGATGAATCTATTATTACAGTTAAAATAGACCTCAGAGGACAAGTGTCACTGCATCATTATGATTAGCATAACACTCCATTTTTCCCACTTTAAAGGGAGTCAGTGTTTTTAAAAGATTTTTTTTTTCATGGAAGTCTTAAAGCCAAATTTAATTTTAGCTTTCATTTAACAGGCACATTTTCTATGAACAGATTTTTGTAATAGAACCAGGAGGTGGGGTACTGTTTGTTACATGTAGAAAGATGAGGTTTTTGACCAATCATCATTATTCAAGTTTAGTCCCTCTTTGCATTTACTGCTTCCTGCAGAGTCCTTTTCTGTGTTTTGAAAAATTCCCTGCATGAATCAAAATGATGGATCTTCCACAGCATTAAGCTTGCTGTATTTTGCAGGAGCCACTGTAACTCATGTACAAAATTCCCTTTATACAGCTATTGGGTGAGTGGAGTTAACGCAGAAAAAAAAAAATTGGGGGGGGAGAACTTGCCTAGGTATCCAGACAACATCAGGTTATCAAACACAGGCTCATACAGTGTTGGATTATCTACTACTTGCTCTACTAGTTTCTTTTCTCCTTTTCTGGATGCTTTAGGACCGTATCCATTCCTGAAGAGATTTATTACAAAGGTAACTTTGGCACTGTCTAGTATTAACTATCAGTGTCACAAAAAAGTGCTTTTTTTTTTTTTTAAGTGTCAAATAACTTGCAGTCTCTTGTGTTTCCTAATGAAGAATAACTTCAACTTTACCAGCCAGCACACTAAACACATACTAACTTAGATTTTTCTGGAACATTTAGGCAGTTCTACTGTTGTGGTAATACTGAGAAACCATTTATAAAGTAGAAAACACAGCACTGACAAAAGTAGCCCATAGTTGCAAGTTCTCAGCCCTTTTTTTGTAGCAACATGATGTTGTCAGGGCAGGTGAAGAACACTTTACAGAAAATAGGAGGATTTTGCTATACAAAACAAATTCTGCAAAATCATTCTTGTCAAGTCACAGAGCTGGTTATGATTAACCATGCTACTTTTTCTTCTCTTCCCTAGAACTTGCACAGGAAAAACACTGAAGTGGGTGATTCAGTTGTATTCCATCACGTCACTTGTCATCCTGTTTTAAGAAAATGGGTGGCTTTTGGCAGCTGGATTAAGTTCAAACAACTTCCCCCCCTTCTTGAGCAAGCAGGCACTGACTGTACTTTTAAGATTAGTGAGCAATTACTGGACCACCAGCTTTAGACACAGTTGAGTGGATATTATCAAAAGACTGACAGCTGTATCTGACTAGAGCAACCTCTGGAAGGCAATATTAGCATTGCCATTTCTTTCTAGTCATGGAATTTCCCCCCTGCCCCTTGACTGAAGTGTTAACACTATGTATTTCTTTTTCTAAAAACAGGTGACTCCTCTATCATTCTACAGCATTTTTCTTCACAAACAGGGTTTGTTCTTAGAAATTAACAACAATTAACACTGTGGCAAGCTTCCATGACCCTGATGGTAGCAGCACTTGGGCCATCAGTGATGTCTTTGAGCACAATGGGAAGGTGTATCTAGGTAATACAGAGCTGCCTTTTCTTGTGGTGCTACAATAAACTTCATAGTTTTCATAAGCTGAAGCATCAAAAGAACAATAGCAGCATTGTTTCAAGTGGCCATTTTTCTCTACTTAAAGGAAGACTGCTACAGCATTGAGGGAGAAATGAAACCGACACCACATGGTTAAGCAAAAATGAAAATACAATGCAGAAATACCTGTTTTAGTAGTTTGTGAAAGCCTCAGACTTAAGCAGGTTAAAGGTACCAAATCACTTTGCTCTGTAGTTCAGAAAATAGTTATGTATATATTTTTAAACAGTTGCACAGTATCATTCAAGGAATTCAACTCTGTAACAGAGGTTGAGGTAAGTTAGAAAAAGCCTTATGTAGGATTTTACTCTTCCTCTTTCCCAGAGGCAGAACATACTGCTTTTCATTATGAACAGCAGTTTCTCCATTGTCTCTTTTGTTAAAGTTTTCCATCTATTCAACTACATCAGTTTCCAAGGAAATATGAGCAAGTACAGCTTGCATTTGAATTCATTCTCTCACCTCTGTGTTTCTTCTGGTGCAAAGTAGTCACATGTTGACTTGCTAGATGCTGTACATAAGGTTCCCTGGGACCATATAAAAGTTCACTAGCATCCACTGTTAGGTAGCAGGGCAGTAAGCAGAGAACAGGCTTATAAATAAGGAATTCAGGCTTTGGAAGTGTGACACAGCTTGATCCTGTAGAAAGGGTTTAACTGGAATTCAATGACAAAGATAGGAAGTTTGATAGGCAGTTTATTTTTTCATTTCCCAAAAGTGCAGCAGTGAACAGGGTCCTCTGGAAGGGCACTTTTCTAAACAAACGTTCAAAACAGCAGAAGTGTGCTCACAACATGCTACAGCAAAGTATGCTCACATACAGAGAGAGTAATACAAAAAAATTAATTTTAATTGAATAACAATAAATGACAGCTGGCTTATTACAATGAAATATTGTATGACTTGTAGAATCAGTCTTAAATTTAACTCGATTGAGAAGGTATTATACCTGCTTTGGGTGTGTTTGCATGTATGTGTTCCTTTTACAGCTTTATTCCTCAAAATGAAGAAGCTCAATTTACTGGGCCTAGATGGGTAAGCACATCCTAGGGGTATTCACTTAAACTCAAGTGACAGTACTGGATGGGGTTTGGTTTAGAATTGTAATAAAGTTATTAACTGTATTTCTCCCTGTATAGTAGTATCTACTTTATCAGATTAGATAATTAAAATTCACAGCTCTGCTTTTGATAATAATGATTTTAAAATAAATTAAAAAAAAAAAATCACATTTTAGCTAAACCCAACTCTGTACCAGTAAGGCCCTTTCATTTAAAAATCTGTCATGGTAAGGCTCTTTCATTTAACATGAATGCCTTCAGTAACAAGGTACTGATACAGCCATGGTCAAATAGCATCTGAAATGGAATATCTAGGAAGACTGTTTAGTTTTAAAAATCACTTAGTTGGGAAGTAGATCTGGGTAAGAGTTAAAGTTCCTTCATAGTGGTTTTTTAATCATCAAGGAAAGAATTAACACTGTTCATTTAAGGCTGTAAAAATACTCAGAATTAACTGCTTCATGGAAACAGCTGACAAGTAACAAACTCCTCTAAAAGCACTGGAAGGCAGGCAACTGGTGGTTCCTGATCTTCCTTCAACTACGACCTTTTGCTGAACAGTTCTTAAGTTTTTATCAAAAGTGAGAGTGAAGCAGATATTTTCCCGAACCACTGTTCCAGTTAAGTAAGGACTAATTTCATTCTGAATTTCAATTTAATACAACATCTACTACCTATGACAGATTTCAGGTATAGGGTAGTTCTCTGACCTGGAATGTGAGAGTTATTGAGCCTAATTACTAAACACTTTAGAGGTGTGTGCAGGCAGCAGAAGTGTTAATTTGGGTAAAACATCTGGTCACACATACTGAATAATCTGTACCAGTTCTGTCAACTTTCTTATTAGTTATTAGGCAAGAAGTAAATAAATCAAGAGATTTCCTTCTTATGGCTTAAGATCACTTTAAGAAAAGATAGTGTTGGAGTTACACACCTGAAGTTTTTTTTTTCTCTATTAAGCAGCGACATAATGCACCTTTCTTGCACTGAAACTTAAGTAGAAACTTGACATATGACCTAGATTTGATAGAACTGTTGAGTTTAATGTGCAGCAATGTATTTCACACTAGCCTCCACACAGCTACCAAAATAAAGTTTAAACAAAGAACAAGTCTAAGTTGCTAGAATTATCTGAGCAAAACACTACATAAATGAACCTTAGGTTTAATTCAGTGTGCAAGAAAACACTTGAGAGCATGAAAACAACTTTGGTTTTGTTTTTGAAGACAAAACAGACTCTGAAGGTTATTGATGGGCAGACTAAGGCTTGAGAAACAAAGAACAGGATAAAGCTACTGTGCAGTGGAGGAAAAAAAAAGTCCTGAGTATTTGAAAGCATCTAAGTGGTTTGAATATCCAAAAACCTCTGCATTTATACAGATGCTCCAGCTGAGAGGTTATCTTTCAAATGATTTTTTTTTTTCTCCAAATATTTGGTCACTCTAGAGATTGGAAACAGTGAGTTAGATTTGAGACAAAAGCTGTATAAAATCTAACCTGTAGACCACCAGAAGTTTACAACTCTAAGCTACATGAAGGACAGCTTCTGTGCTACAGAGTCAAAAGCCAAGAAAGTTCAACTTATTGTAGCATTGCTCATATCCAGTTTGTGGATTGGTGCACTGGGGTATGCACCTTCACAGTTTTGAAAATGTTACACTTTGTCACCTACCTAATGATTACTTAAGTAGAAGGTTTTAGGTGACAAGGTGAAATCATCATGCTCTCTATTTGGGTAAAAGATCTGAAATAACTAACTGAAAACTAAACAGTTGTGCCACAGTATGACAAGGGAATGATTATCTTGCCTGATAACACAGTTGATTTGCCCACAAGCAACATGAACTTATCTTGCAAAAGATGCACAGTTCAGTGTTTCTAGAAGGTGTTTTGCCAGTGAATCTCTACAGAAGTTATATGCTAATGCAAGCTTCTGTGTTTTTCAATATTTAGAAAGATACTCAAGTTTGGGTGCAAGTGATGGCTTCATTTCAGACAAGCCTGATCAGCAGGTTGGAAAGACAATATCACCCTTCCAAAGGGAAACCAAGGGATAACATACTGCGGTCAGACAGCTGACATGCTGTCCTTTGGTGTGAAGGCCACTGATGCAGATTCCAAGTAGTTATGTCTCAACCAAAAAGCAACACACTATGAAGCACTTAAACTGCCTAAAACAGCCCTCTTAGGCTAACTTCTAGTGAGCAATGACTTATTTTTAGCTAGTTTGCTTTCAAAATAATTTACCTTTAAGAGTCTAATCAACATAAGATGTTAGACAATTCAAGACATTTGGAGGTTAGAGACACATCAGCTCTACCATGGTGCCCTGGTTGGGGGGTTTTCCATGTTTTTGTTTTGTTTGGGTTTTTTTTTAAAGTATTACTTCCATTCATGAATTAAAACAGACTTAAGAGTTAGCTCAAAACACAGGCACACTTATTTGAATACTTGTTAGTCTCAACACTCTAACTCCCTAGGAAGCCTATATTAAACCCTAAGAGTTTTTCCAGTAGTACATAGTAACCCATTCCAGCATTTCAAACTAGAAGGAGGTTGAAATTACATTCCTGTTTGCAAGCTACCAAAGCTGTCCTCCAAAATTCATTGGTCTCATTTGAAGTGGTCTTGCTGAAAGAGAATATTTAGCATACAGATTTTAATTCTGCACAAGACACTTGCTAGTCAGATCCTACAGTTTTGACTAATGCCTTCCTGTGCTATTTTGGGCTAGTTTGCTCTTGTCATTAACAGCATACAGGAAACCTAGAATTAAACATAGCTTTTAAGAAAGTCTGAGACTGAATATGGGTGAGCATTACTGTGCAATAGCACCTGCCTATCTAACCCAAATCAAATATGCATTTATTGTTTTTTAGAACAAAATAAACTGTTTAGATTCATAGGCATAGGTTCACCTCTGTGCCTGTGATATGAAAAGGTACTTGAAAGACAAAGGTGGTAATCAACTATCTGAGCAAGACAGATTAGCTGTGTCTAATGATTTAGTCAGAGTTCAGCTGTAAAATATACATATTGCACAAGGCAACCAGCTAAAGACAAGGGGTTTTCTTCCAAACAGGGTTTGAATAGCCCATTAAAAGTCTTCCAGCTGCAATCAACGAGTTACAGAGACAGACCTGCTGCAGCCACTGGAGAAACCGGTCAGTGGGAGCTGACTGCAAGAGGCTCTTAAGTGCCTTATAAGGACTGTCCAGAAAACCTCCGAGCCCGAACACCGTGATTGCTGAACATGAGCCGTGGGTCAAACCTGTACCTACAGAAAGGAACAGAGTCTGCATGAGCTACAGTTAGCCCACAGTGACCAACACTCCCAGAAACAGCTCACTTGTAGAACAGCTCTGGCACAAGGCTGCAGGAATAGTTGCTTTTTTAACAGTATGCAGTAGGGACAATCTCTCTATGTATCACAACAGATTAATTTATAACAATGCACAATTAAGAAGCTGACAGTCTCCAAAGAAATAAACACTAGCTACAACATACCAATGGCACATTGACATGTATAACGTTAAGCATTCAGGAGATGCATTCTAACAGAAAGCTTTGCTGCCTCAAATTACAGACTAATGTAGCACAACTCTAAGGACATTTTAGCTAGTGCTTAAAAAAGCTTCAGTCCAAATTATTACAAACTGAATTCTGAAGTAAGAAGTGCTATTTACTTAAAACAGCTGATTAATACATACAGCTTAGATCCCACAGGAAACGTTCTTTGCTAACAGTGTCTCCAGGAACAATCAGAGCAAGTATTTGAAAAATGCCTGCCTACAGAAACCAGCAGAGCTTTTCCTTGTTTGCAGGCAAACCTGAGGTCACTTGTCTCTGAGTACACAGCACAGCTGTAATCTTCAGCTGTTCTAAGTCAACAGTGGCTGACAAGACTGAAGTAGTAGTATTAATACCATCAAGGTATATTCGGTAGGTTAAATTAAAATAGATTAAACATTTTTTAAAAAATAGAAGTATCAAGAAAGCATCTCTATTAAACAAGAGTATGTATGCCAGTAATATGACATTCCATCATAAATACCCTCTGAAAGCTTAATTTTAAAATACATAGTTATATTTTAAAATATTAGAATAATTCACTGAATCAGTGTTTACCCGGGATCGAAGACACCTGGTGTACGGCAAGTTGCTCCTGAACAGGACTGCAGCATCATTAATCGATAGTTCATCTTTTCTAAAATTTCTTGATCAATTGTTTTAGCAATGTTATTGATCTGGTGTGGATCTGCAGTCAAGTTATACACTTCCACAAACACCTGCAGAAGAAAGTTCCTGCACTGTATTAAGTCCTAGATGCTAATTAATATTTAATCATATTATTTGGGAAGAACATTTTATGGCAGCATATAGTCTCAAATGTTATTTTCAACTACACTGCAGCATCCCCATACATAAGCTCTATTTAGCCAGGCAGCTAAGCGATTAGAGGCAGGACAGTGTAGGTAAAGCTAAAATTTCATGACAGTACAGTATTGTTGGAAAAGTTTTTACTTCCACCTGAAATACTCACCTGCTATGCTGCAGATTTGTTTTGTAACACGCAGATGGAACCAGTCTTATGACTGTAAGACCACAGCAAGAGGCCATGGCTAAGCTAGCTGTCTTCTCCTTAACAGATCTTAAAATACACGATTTCATGACCATAACAGGCTCATCAAGTACTTCCAGATGTCACTCAGACAGGTGTCTTCACTACATGTACAAAATACACTGAATACAAGGAAGCTTTTTTTGTGCACGCTGCTTTGAAAAGGTTTGGAGGATTTTAGGGCAGATTTGTTTTTTGGTACATTAAATCTTTAAACCCTTCTGTGGGACAAACACTAGTCAAATGTATCTCAAGAATTCAGCTGAGGTTTTGTCTGCACTAGAGTAAAAGGCCTGATTGCAAATGGTTGATTAAAACTTACTGAGTTGTGTCTAACAGATAAAGATGCATCTGAGCAGACCTTGGTTGCACGCTTTCTTGTAAGGTTCTCTGCAGGGTTTTAAAATCCACATTGCTGCATCTTCCCAATACTGTTAGTCTTAATTTAGCTGACCTAGGCAAGCTGAGTGACCCAAAAATGCCAGTCATACCTTCTTACTCGAAATATAAGTGACAGGAAGTTTCAGATCAACTTTACTTTTACAAAGAAAGCTGCAACACTTACTTAACTTCATCATAAATTGTCAGAAGTAGAAAAATGAAGGGCAGGGTTTGCTAAACAGCATGTTGGTTTCCTATACAGTCTCTCTTGCTATCTTACTGCAAAAACCATCTTGTGGGATTTGCTCCCCTGGTTTAAGTTGCTCATCATAGACTACCAGAAAATGTTTTGTGTGGTGGCATGGTACCTGGGGATACCTGCTGTTTATGCATTTATTGCACATCTGCTGCCAATGCAGTTTATTAGCTTTGTGAGCCCATTGCCTCAAGGCCAACATACTCTCTGGAACAGCTGTGTGCAAATAGGCACAAGGAACTATCAGCTCTGTAACACACCAAGTTTTGTCTTCAGTGGGTGCTCAACTAGTGAGATCTGAAGTTTCTGAAGGGGAGACATTATGTCCTTTACACTCAAACAATTTACGATAAGGTTAGAGACCTTTCTCACAGTTGTAACTTAAATACTTGCTTTGCCAGGCAAACAAGTGAGCGATAACCCCAGCACAGCTCCCCATAAGGCTCTTAGGTGATATCAGAAAATGATAATCATAGTTTAGGCTGTTGTCCCTTCCCCACTCCACTCCCAACCCTTTTTTTCCTTTGTCCCAGAACCCCACCAGAGTTTTGGTAAAACATTCTCACAAGTAGATAAATAACTTCACTGTTTATCCTGCAAGCAATCTGCTTTTGAGTACTTTAAGGAAACATTGAGAAGCGATAAGAGTGCATACAGTCACTCGCACAGCTGACATCTGCTAGCCAGACACAGACTTACCTCCCGGTCATCAAATTCACAGTACTGCAGATCCCAGGAAGTTGACAGTGTCCTTACACAAGCATATGTGTTGTTATAGGAATCTTCACAGACACAGTCTGGGAAGCAGTGCTGTGAAGTGAGCAGTGAACAAAAACTTCAGAGGAGGAAAAAAAGATGAACAGATGAACTAGCAATCCTTCTCCTAGAGCCTAAACCAGCTCAATCCAACTGCAGTTAACTGATAAATACCAGGACTTTAGTCTAACACATGCAAGTCTCCACCAGGGATTTTAAGCAAAAATTCAGCTCTTCTAAATTTGAGGAAGTTATTAAACTCACCATGATTAAGTGGACTTTTTCTGGGAAGCTAATGTAGATACACTGAAGAGAATAGCACAACACACGCTATTAAAGACAACACCAATGGCATGCTTTACTTAAAGCAAACCTCCTTTGATTCAGAAGTAGCTAGTGGCTCAAATAATAGTCACAGATCAGATAAGAACTGTGTGATGAGATCACTGAAAGAAAACGATGTGGCTACCACCAGCTATGCCAAGCCCACACCTTCCTGCATGTTTCTCCAGCCCTGAGGCTCTGTAGGTTCCCACTGAAAGGGTGACATGTTCTGTACAGACATATGGACACATCGGTTCCGTATGGCTGGATGTCTCCCTCCAATTCTTAAATGCTGCACAGGACTTACAGAGCTAGATCCTACTTACCAAGACAATGGGAGCTTATTTATAGAACCAAGTTAGTCCATACAGCAAACAGGTTTAATTCAGCAGCTATTTTCTAATAGTAACAGATCTTGTCTTGCTTACTGTGACTCCAGGTCCTAGGCCAGGACAGGTAGGATCACTGCCGTTGTATCCTTCTCCTTGGTACTCCACCAAGAAGTCTGATCTCCAGGTCACATTTTTGTCTCCTCTCTAGGACAAGATGTTAACATGACTTAGTACCCACCCCACTATGAAAGAGAAGAAATTCTCTGTGCCTGGTATAACCCTAACACTGCCCACTGCCTACATGGCAGTTTGAGTCGTGGCCCCTTGTTGGAATCAGTCTTAAAATAATATTTAGCCTTAGGTTAGTATGTCTCATATAACTGGAAGACAAGGATCTAACTCCAAAAATATTAAAACCTCACAAAGAAGGTGTACTCTCTTCAATTTATAAAAAAATCATGCAGTCACACTAAATAGGAGCCACATGGCCAGACACTAATATATTACAGACAAGATCCCTGTGACAAGGCTGTTTCTCTTTGTATCAGACTACCGCAAAAAGATGGAAAAAGATACCCTTGGCATAAGAAAAGATAAACAGCTTTAAGAAGCAACTAAGTTTTCAGCTGCTCTATTTGCAGCTGCATTGTACAAGACAGGGGGAGAGGGAATTTTAAAATTAGTATACAGCACCATCACAGGAATATACAGCAAAACGGTGAGCTCCAGAGTTTGATTCCATCAGTTTAAATTAGACTCCTTTTACTTGCTTTCATCTCAAGAACAGCTTAAGGTTTGGATACAAGGTTTTAACAGCAAAGCACTGTTTTAAATCTGGATGATCTCCTACATTTCCAAGTAAGCTGCCTTCAAGTTATAAACTAAATTTAATTAAAACTAAAAGGATCAACTGCAAGCAGCTTTATTCAAATAGGCTTCTGCTCACTTATTGGAAAGGTCAGGTATACTTCATAAAACCACATCAATTTTTCCAGTTTACCAGGGTTTCCAGAGGGGGGAAACACCAATTCTACTGAAAATAGAGGCAAATCAGAGATTTAAGTAAGAACAGTCTGCTTTTCTCCTATGTCTATGCTGAGAAATCCTAAGGAAAAGGGGAGGGAGGATGCAAGGTGAAAACAACATACAGCCTTCAAAACAGGAATTAATACAAATGGCAGGATTAGCCAAAGGACGGCACAACTTTCTATTTTAAAAAGGGCACAAAGTTATGGGGCTTATGAAAATACATCTGCATTTAAACAAGATAGATACCTGATTTTTTATTAAGCTATGAACATCCAACATGAAAGTGACATCAAGGGAAGAATGTGGGATGTGAGTCAACCTAGTCTATCAAAGGAAGTAGTATTCACTTTAAAGAATAACCCCTGCAAGAATTACCGGTTACTATCCCTGCCCATCTACTCACCAACAGTGGCAATAGTGACATCCCATCCATCTGGGTTTTATTCAAGTCATACCCTGCGATATCCAGAATAGTAGGACCCAAATCAATATTAGCAACAAGCATCTGCAAGGTGAGAAAAACTTATTTCAGAAGACCAGAAGCTTACAGATGTAATAATGAGACTTCTGTATTTTAATTTTAGGTACACCTAAACACCACCTAATTTCATCTTTATAGGCTAATGGATCTTGTGACATCCAAAAGCAATAGTAGTGTCTTTGGAAAGTGAGCTTCACACTTTGTTTGCTTTTGTAGCCTGAAATTACTTAAATTTGATTCAAGCAAGAGCACACAGCTTTTTAGAATGTCTTCGCAATTCCTACCACTCCATGTATTTTGTTTCATTCATACATGTATATGCAGGGGGATAAATTATTACCTAAAGCTGGTAACTGTGAAGCGATGTTAAAAGTAAATCCATACTCTGATTCCACTTCTTTCTTACCTTGTTTGTCTGATTTGGTTTTATCCCTGGTCCTCGAACTAGCAATGGAACTTTGATATCAAATTCATACAGCTGACGTTTGTCTATTGGCAAAGAAAACTGGCCTATACAACAGAAAATGGAAAACGTTAAATGGAGTCTTGTTTTACATTTTAAGAGTCTTGTGTTACATAATTTCCAGCAGCCCATTTTTTAAGAAGTCAGAAGAGGTTCTCAACCTGAACTACATTAACAAAGTGGAGGATAGCAACAGACAACTTCAAAGTATAAGCTGTACCTTACAGTTTAACAGCTTAGATGCACAACTGAAAATGCAGTAATATGATGCAGACAGGTCTTTGACAGATTTTTACGGTAACTCTTTCATGGCAACTCTTCCTACAGGACACAGAGACCCTTTCTCCATTTCTGTCCTGAATTGATGTATACCAGGATACAGTGGAAGAGAGTAATGCTAAAAAACACCAGCAAACAGAAAAACAACCAAACAATAAAATGCCCAAACACCCCCACATTGCAACTCCAGACTGTTCTGCAACTCAAATCAGTACTTCTCACATCTACATATTTCCACAGCTGCTTCTCCCATTTTCTGGAACAGTCATGAGGGTGAAATGTTATACAGTTCCTGAATCTTCTATAAACGTTCAGTAAGCGTGAGTTTTACCAGTGTGGAAGCCATTGTCTGATGTGTAAAAGATGTACGTGTTGTCCAATTCTCCATTCAGTTCCAGTTTCTTCACTAACTTCTCTATCAGGTCATCTACTGACAGCAGAGTTTGCCACCTATACAGAAATAAAGTAACTCCTATTAAGAGTATGAAAAATTTAGAGTAATTCTGACTGGAGGTAGGGCATTTGTATTCTGCTTCAAGTCAACAGTGTATACACTGAGCAGATTATTTTGCTTTCAAATTCTGAAAACAAACTCCATAGATTACTACACTGTACTTTCTGAGGCTGCGATTTAAGATAGAAATGGACTGTTTGTCTTAGTTTCTTGTTGATTTCATTCTGTAGTGTCTGAGAAAGACATCAAAGTACTGATTACTTCTTATCTAGAGACAGTCAAGACCAACTTTGAAGCAAGCCGGTGGCAGAGTCAAAGTTATCTCCTGCAAGGTCACTTGCTATTAGTTCTTTATGTGTAGTTTTTATTATTAAAAAAACAAGACTGCTGTGAATTTGTCTATATGGGATCCCTTCTGCTTGAAAACTACACCAGCATATTCCACCATTATTCCAGCATATCTAAAGCCTTGCACAGCTTCTTTCCTTTGTCATGGGGTTTACTATTGAGAGAAGCTGATCTTTAAGGTCCCTTCCAACCCAAACCATTCTATGACTCTATGATAAGTGACTGCTTCTGATGTCAGTAACAAGCCTCCACAGACTAGTATTATGCTGAATTAACTAATTATTCAGTTCTTGGATCCTGCTGTCTTCAGGCTTAAGGTTTTGTCGCAGAATTTTATCTTCATGTTTTATAATGCAAGAGCCTGGAAAAACCTTGGTTTTCTGTCTCCAGAGTGACAACCTAATGCCTGATAACTCAAAATTGAGTTTAACACTTAAGGTTAAGCTAATGTTTGTTTCAGAGCTTTTAAAGAAAATACACCTGCAGTGTAAACAAATAAGCTTCCTTTCTTTTCAAGAGAGGGAACAAGCTGTATCTTCACATTACTCCCCACACCCCCTTTTATAAAAAGGAATCAAGCACCTACCTTGGCCAGTCAGGTATTCCCTTTTAAAAAGGCCACAGACTGAGAGTCAAGGTTAATAAATCAGATGAGCTGACAGATAAATCAGTCACATTTGATATACACCATTTAATATGAAACTGGAATTCAAGTGAAGGAGAGGTAAGGCCACTTTTAATGATGACCTGTTGTGCACTGAAAGAGCAGCAGTAGAGACACCAAGCGTGATTGGTCTTTTTTATGATAAATGATGGCAGCATTGGGGAACAAAATATTTCTGAAGTCAATGACAAATTTCTTTCCAAACAGTAAACAAAGTCAGGTCAGTTGAAATAGATGCCAGAGAACTATTACATCTACTGTCAGACTCATTACAACCCTTTTAAAAAAAATACCTTTTCTTTTTTTAAAAACCAATAGAAGTTCTGAGTAGAAATCTTAAGCAACAAAAACATTCTTACCGCTTTCTATAAGCATCATCAAGAAACTGTACTGAAGAGTTAGTCATTGGAGTCTTTGCTTGTCGAATTAACCAGTGCTTATTCTAAAGAAAAAAAGACAAAAAGAATACTGTGGGAGAGAAGTATCAGCTTTTAAACCTTTCTTAGACCAATCACAACATAAATGTTGTTTAGGACAAAACATCCACACGATTTCTGTGTAATAGCCACACAATGCCATCAAACTGACTTGACTCCAATCTTCCTTCTTGGTTCATGTAAAATCTAAGTTGCAAGAGTAGAATATATTACAGCTCCATCATGCTCAGCCCTTGGTGAGAAGAAAATAGCTATGGATCTTCTCAAATCAGTTCAGGACAGAAACTTGTGGAGGGACCAGGGAAGGCTTTCCCAGAGATAAGTCTGACAGCCTGAGACAGATCTGGTGAAAAAAATCTGAAGGATGGAGAAGCACTAAGATTGAATGTGGCTGTCAAAGTGAGGTTGTTTTGGGACTAAGATTGGTGAGCATCCTAACAGAGGTGTGGACAACCTCCTGCATGAAAGGCAATTAGGACTACCTAATTCACAGACAGGTAAGGACAAAGATCTGTAATGGTGCCACTACCAGATTCTTGGCAGCCTATGCATTCAGGGCTGAAGACTACTGAGGGGAGCAGAAACATTACCATTTTATTTGGACTTTTTGACTCCAGTACAAAAGCATTTATTTAGCTGCAGTGTTACTGATTCTTCTAGTTGCATCCCCAACTTCCAGAAACAACCCCTTCCTTTCTACCCTCACCCATCTCCCCAAAGTAACGGAGATGATCTAACTCATACAAAAAGTGATACTCCCACATCCTGAAGCACCAGTCTGAACTGGGTCAGCTGCTGTACAAATACATGGGAAGGTCTGTTGTGAATGCCCTGAGGGTTAGTATTAGTGAGGAGCAGAATAAAGGAGAAAGTCATGTCAATGCAGCTTCACACTTTTTAATTTAGTAGGTCAGAGATGACCCACTCATTCCCTGCAGCTTAAGCCTGTATTTAGTTGGTCACTCCTCTCCATAGAGCCTCTTTGTTACACCATTGCCCTCCTGTCACAAGCGGATGACTCTGAACTGGCTTAGGCTTTAGGGACTTGCAAAGTGACTCATTATCTCCTGCAATTATTCAGTTCCCCTGTTTTCTGTTCTTGCCAACTGAAGGAAAGATTTTTGGTATGGAGACTTAATACCATGTCCAGTTTATTTTAATTAAGCTATATTGAGATCTCTTTTACAGTAATTATAAAACAATTCTCTGGAGAGATGCTAAATCTATCTCAGTAAGAAAACACAGCATAATCAAGACCAAACATCTAGGACATGTGTGTTGGTTGAGAGAGGAAAAAGTAAGGAAAGACATAACAAGCCCCATTCCTAGCTCACCAGAAGTTCTTCAGAGAACAGAGCTGGCAATGTCACCTGTGCACCAGCCACCTTTCACAAGAGGTGAGCGTAGATGAGGCCCTCCACAAGGCACAACCATGCTGGGTAACTTGGGTGGATAAGTCACCTAGTGCAGTAGAAACCTCCTATTTTCTGGAGTGTTTTGTTCTTCCTACCTTTCTCTGAAGTTTTAAAAACTTCACAGAGCACCTAAACACCTTTGTGCATTTCAGTAAACTTCAAACTGACAGAGTCCTCAAATCTGCTTCCATGTCAGGTCTCTTTCACCAGTTACAAAGTTGTTCACCAATCCTGCTGTCTCCCTATGTCCCATTCCCAAAGAAATTTTAGGAGATCTTGAGACAGATACCATATCTTGCCAGCAGAATCTGAACACAGCTATGCTCTGATTCTGCAGGAAGAACAATGCATGCAAGAGAAATACCCAACATGTCTCTCAGAACAATTTAGATCAACCACTTATCTGGGCTATCAATAGTCCTGCTTGGGAAACCAGACAGCTACCCATCATTTGATATAGTTCATAGCTGAGATCCCAAGCAGAAGTTAAAGTGCACCTCACTAGCCAGTCTAACAACAGTCTAATTCCTATTTTTCATGCAGAGATTCTGCCTGGATGGCATCTTTTAGTACCACTTGCCCACATACTGTATAAGGAAGCTAGGCAACATTAATTTAGGAATCAAAACTGTGCAATGCAAGACTGTCTAGCAAGCATTACATCAATGACTTGAGGGTCTAAGCCTATGTACATGTTTATTACTATTGCAGGAATTGTGCTTGCCCTAGAAAACAGTGAAGCTCAAAGAAGAGTTAGGCTTCAAGACCACAACACTGCCAATTACAGAAAGGCACACAATAATTGCAGTTATTGTGTCTAGAAGGAAGGGTAATGCTAGTCTGTTCCTATTGTGAAATCTAGTAAAACTGCTGTATCCACAGACATTAACTACCGAACATTAAGTCTGTCATCTTGCTTTGTGTTATATAGGCATATGCAGAGCTTTTGCTCCACACTAGGCAACTCCCACACTGTATTTTCTGGCTAGCTGCTGACTTTGATGGTCAAGTTATTTTGGGCTATTTCAAAAACATTCATTTATTATAGTAACAGAGCCTAAGACAAAGTTAGGGATCCTTTTATGGAGGAAAAAAACCAACAAACCAATCTGATTCCCACTCCCTAGTTCAAAACTTAACAAGTTGGGCTAAAGTATTTGTTACTGCCAGAAGCCCTTTCCTCCCCTTTCATTCATGTCTTTATATCACACTGATAAGCACATAGTCATTTTGCAAGCTACAATCTTCAGCTAAAAACAAGTCTCACCCTGTACTACAAGAGTCACAGTGACCTTAGAAGAAGTATCAACTGGGCTCCAGATAGGTATTTAGGCTATGTTATCTCTTACTATTAAGATTAGGAGAAAATCTTGAGGTGAATCAGTTGAACACTGAACAGTAGTGAGCTTTCTACTTCAAACTAATTGAATAAAAAATACAAAACTTCTGTAAATTAAGTATTTTACCAGATTAACTATTTGCGACTTCCACTTACTGGCAGAGTAAATTGCAGTGGATTAGTCTGAGCTAGACCATATTTGGCCAGGTTTACTGGCAGTGTAAGGCACTGCCCTGTCACAAGGATGTGAGTTTGTAACATTAGGTTCAGCAATCCTGGTTACGTTATTTCAACAAATGAGAGGCAAGTTCACAAAGTCCTTAGTGATCCTGGGCCCATGTGGTTCATCATTTCACAAAGTCCTCTGGTTAGCCTGGTAACACTTGTCACCTAGGGGCAGCTTTGCCACAAGCTCAGGTAAGGGACCACCCATCCACATGAGCAGATGTGTGTAGCAAAACCATCATTCTTCACCTCAGTCTTTGTGTAGCACACTACTTGTGTGTTCTCCTGAACCTTCTGAGTGCAATGGAAGAACATTTTTAAGAGGTTCAGAACAGGATGGAAATTGGACAAGGAATTAACTTCTTTCCATTTTTTAATCATAATTCCATTGTAACTGCCTTATTTGTGCCACTAACTTTTTCTTTACAAAATACTGGTATGCAAATAACTCAGTCACAATAAACATATCTTACTCTGAAAGGCTGATTAACATAACCAAACAACCAATAGTCATGGTATTACCATATTCTTCACACTGTTTAAACTTAACATGCAGGTCAGGGTCATTGCAGAGCAGCTCTCACAAACTAGTAGAGCCACCTATGCAGATTCTTGCTAGTTAGCTTACCTTTCCATGAATATTAAAGTTGCTGTTTCTTGGTGCACTGACATTCTGAAAACTCTTCGTATACTGTGGAGCAGCTGTCCAAGGGGAGTGTGGTGCTGGGGTTGAGATCATCATAAAGAAAGGTTCGAAATTAGATTTATACTCCAAGAAGTCCAATGACATGTTGGCCTGTAAACAGTTTGGTTTGAGAAGAAAAGTCATACCTCCAAAGGAAAACAAGTATTTGAAAAATCCAAACTAGACATTCATAACTTTAGATCTCAGTAATACTTGGAACACTTAAACTATTCCAGAAACATACTGCTTGCCCATCTACAAATGTCCAGAACAGCAGCTCATGATAAAAAAATCCCAAGTGTTATGTTACACAAATAATTTGTCCTACATAGCCAAACAGCTTTCTACATCCGACCTTTGCACTATTTAGACCTGGAAAGCTCATCAAAAGTTTGTGCCTGTTCCAAGTATCAACAAAATTCACCTAAACTCAGTTTTCATCAAGTGAAATTGGAGCTTTAACACAGTCTGAGATTCTCAAGTGCCACATCCTGCCTGACAGATTTCAGTTTAGCAGTTTCAATTGTTTGCAGAAATACTAATAGTTCTGAAAAAGTTTTTCAGCCCCACTCTTTATAGCATATGTTCATCCTGTAGCAAGCTCCTAGTTTATAAAGGGTGCCACACTTCTGCTGGTGAAGCCAGAAGCTCTAGTGAAGGACAGTGCCAAATGCCACTCATTCACATCACTTTACTTTCGGTTTTGTTTCAGCCTACACATAATTTCAAGTAGAAAGTTAGAAGAGATTGTGAGTTCCATTTTGGCCTTCCTTCAGCCTTTGAAATTAAAGCTTCAAAGACATTACTTGCAGATGAGTTCTTCACTATTTGAATCTTGCAACGTTTTCCTTTCCTTTCTTATTACCATACTCCATTTTGGATATCCTTTCCTTTCTCTAGAAGAAACAATACACTAGGAATTTCCTCCTCCTCCTAACTTGTATATCTGAACAAGTAGGGCTGGACTTAAGTTATCCTCCCTTAACTCTTATATGACAGAGCTGAAGTTTGTGAGGTTTGAAAACCTGGTTCAGAAACCAGTATGAGATAGGTGAACTCACAGAGGTAGTCAACTTAGATTTTGTTAGAAGCTTGAACTGCAACATGTAGGACTGCAGTAGACAGATCCAGGTGTTCAGATTCTTAATATCAGACTTAAGTATCCAGATGTCCTTAGTCAGGACAAGAAAGCTCGTGCATCACATCAAACAACACAGCAACTCTGCATAAGCAGTTTACTCCTGTGCATGCCCATCGAGTGAAGTAAACTCAAACACCAGCTGAATATGTATTTGGTAGGAGGTAGAATGCAACACAGTGAAAATCATAATACACTGCTGTATCAATAGGTAACACATCACAAGTAAGAGGTTTATGTAGCAATGACCTGTTGGTCAAAATGCTTACGAGCTGCTGAAAGATCAAAAAAGACTAGTAAAATGCTGGTAACAGGCTAGTCTCACTCCTGGCAATGTAGCTTTAGTTGGTGTAAATCTAAAATTAATCAGACAGCTTGTCCAGTACCCTAAGGAACATCAATCAGTTCTGCTTCTAGTAAGCAGCTGTCTGTGTTCAAGAACCCACTGGAATGAAACTATTAGGGTCTGAATGGAAGACTACAAATCGACTGCATGAGAAGACTTCTCAGAGAAAAATTTTCCAGAGTGCTGCATGCGAGTTCCCAGCACTACTAACTCATACACTGTAACAGCATGTCAAATTAAGACTTCAGCTTGGCAGGTGGGGGGAACGCTGCCCCCCTCCAATCTCCATGCTGATACTACTTGCTAAACAGGGCCTCAAGGGAGCTAAAACAATTCTTCCAACTTCCCTTTAAGTATTTGCTATCTTTATTAACTCTCTTTACCTGAAGAGGGTAATAAGGCTAAAAACTCCCCTGGTCAGCCACATATTTTGCACAGTTCATATACCACCCCCTCACACTATGGAGGATTGATCATCCTTTCGTATTTCCAAGTTATCGGTTTGATGTAATTGGGAGATTACATGGTAATTAACACATCATAACATCTAACAAACAAAACGCGGTGAAAAGTTACTTTTGCATGCTCAACTTGCCACTGAAATCTTGGCCCAGTTAATCTGTTACAGAAGTTGTGTATTTTAATGAAACACATCCTTCTATGAAGTAATTTAAGTCATTGCCTACATGCATCATCCTCCTCATGTGCCACAGCAGTCAGTATTAACCTCTCAGTGAGGCTACTGGCTAGCAAATGGGCTGTTGGATTCCCTTTCCTCTCCACAGCTTGTACACACAAACTTGTCATTTCTAAATATACCCAGAATCTTGCTCTGATTAATGCCCACCCACCATCACGACAGCATAATTACGTATTTATGAACTAATACAGCCTAGAAAATTATCATCCCCAGCCTTCTTCAAGCCCCCAGCATGAGACATTATCTGGTCATAAGCAACTTCTGTAACACATTTGTTGCAAAATTTCTTACCAGTACATCTGTCAGGTAATCTACACTGTAGTTCTCACCATGCCTTCGTGCTTTGCCGTTTACTGAAAGAGTATAGTTGTAGTACTTTGAATTCTTCTCCTGTGAAAAAGAAGAGTCACGTGCATATTTATACAAAGTAACATGTACACCGATTACTTGAAATAACCAAAATGAGCTGCCAACAAGCACTTGTCAAATAGGTTATAAGCATTTGTCACATGGACACCACAAGACTTCTCAGAATTGGTCTCCAAGAACAAAACTTATTTAAGGTCTATCTTACAAGGCTTTGGCTTTACAAGTCAGGGTTTTTCCTCAGGCACCTTAGCAGGAGTAACTGTTGTGAAAGCCAAGGATCTGATACGCAATAGAGGAAAAAAGGGAAGAAAATCTGCATTAAATTGTTAGATGCTCTTTGCCTGCTCTTTCATGCCCAGCAAAGTTAGAACACAAGATTGATTACAAAGCAACTGAAATTAAGTAGTTTTAAAAAAAAGAATGTTAACATACCAAAGCATACCAAAAACTCCATCCAGGAGGGACATGACTTACTCCCCCTGCATCCTCTGCGCCGTACTGAAAAAAAACAGACCATGATTCACAGTTTCAATTACGATGGATAAAAGCTAGAAATTACTTTTCATATTCATGTGCTTTAGTCAACACTAGCCAGAAACTGCATTAAGCCAAAATGAATTTCAGAATGGAAAACACCAACTATATAGAGATATTAAAACGTATGTATAGCCTGTTAAGGAAGCCAGGGTTAAATAACTAGAAAGAGAGTAACTGAAAGCTTGGCATTCACCAATAAAATTTAAAATTTATTACCTGTTCTACTTTGCACATGAAAACATGTAGAGATCCAGGAGAACATGTGGTAGGTACATCAACAGGTAAAGAGAGGTGATCAAAACATGCAGGCGACACGACACTCTTGGGCTTTGTGATAACAGTTCACAAGGTACCAAAGATACCAAATTTCGCAGAGACCAACAGCTTCCATTATCCTCCCCCAAAAGGGGGTACAAACTTTAAGCAATGCTAGCCTCTTGTCACCTCAGTGCCAAATAACCTGCAACAACTAGCCTTTAAGCCAGCAAAAAAAGGAAAGTAACTGCTGAATCAGTGCCAAACTCAAAACAGAGGGTGCCTCAGAGCAACACAACGACTTCTCAGGGCTGCCCTCTCCCATTTACATGGCTTGCCTCTACATGGCTTGCCTAACTGAAGGGACAGGAGACTGCTGAGTCAAGGGATGCTCAGAGGAAGCCAAGTAGGTTTCCCTTTCTTCCCCTAGCTGCTTCAGTAACATCAGCAGAAACAAATTTCTGCCTGGCTATGGAAATTTATGTTCCATTATTTGATTATACCGCCACCATTTTCCACAAAGAGATGGAAGGAAAATAATGCTCTTAAGAACCCTGTGACCCATCTAGCTCCAAATACACAAGAGAAACACCTGATCTTAGAGCTTTCAGTACTACTGAATTTTACAACTTACCACAGACTACTGGAAATCACAGCTTAGTTCAAAACAAAAAAACCCAAAAGCACACACATACAAGCGATCCAATAATAAAGTGTCAGGTAACCTCTAAAGAGCTCTGATAATATCTGTTCTTTCAAGGAATTTTCCTCCATGGGCATTTAATATTTAAAATACTATATTAACTGCTAATAAGGAAAACACTCCTCTGATTCAAGGGGATAAATCAGTCAGGAATATTGAGTCAAACCAACTTTTTTTTCTTTAACATTATTCTAGCATCATGCATGGTCTGGCACTGGCTTGATAGTGCTCCTCAGTCCCACATGCCAATCATCTATCCATTTCTCCCAGTCATTAAAATCATAATCTCTAACAATTAACACATCTGAACATACTAAAAAAGCCTTGGGATTCCATCATCCTTTCAAAATTACCTTTTAAAAGTGTTCAGGCGCTTACAGAACCTGATTTTAACGAAGTTAAGTTAAAGATTTGAAGTCTGCATCATATTTATCCCACCTCAACAAAGAGAGCTGTTCATCCAAGTAACACCATTTTAAACATTTTGGGGAGCTACAAGTATAAAAACCACTGAATGTTTTAGAGATGTGGACAAACGCAAATGAACCGAGTCACAGTAAAAAGTAAGAACAAAATACCTCATTCAAATACTTTCCAGCAAAGAACGTTTGATAACCACACATAGTTTTGAGCAGCGCTGGGAAGGTGTATGGTTCTTGAATCTTCTGCCACAACTTGCTGCTACAGTTTCCTTCCAGAGTGTTATTGACAACATGATGATTATGTGGATATTTTCCTGTTAAAATGCTAGCTCGACTGGGACAGCAAAGTGCACTGGGAACGTACTAGAAAGACAGTATGAGGAGATACAAGATGGATATTGTAAACCATTTTTTCCTCAAAATTTACAGTTTTGAAATATCAGCTAATAGGTTGATTAAAATGTTCATTAAAGTATGTTTTTTTTCTGGACACAGAATTACATCCCAAGAATTTTCACTAGTGAACAGCTGCATGTGAAACCAGTTTTAGTTTCCGTGGCATATGCCCTTCAACCCCACAAGATCAGATGTGGTTCTAACACAGTGGCAAGTATCCATTAAAATACCGTTTGCCAGTTGATTCACTCCATTATTTTAGCCATGGCAATATTAGAATATGAAGAGTGAAATGGGTTTTCAGCATACATGAAACCAAAAGTTTTAAGGAGCTGCTTCTAATGCTTCTCAGTTTAAGTAAAATATTTTACTTACTCAGTTTTACTTTACTGCTTAAGGAAGTTAGCACAAGTACTTTTAGGAAGTGAAACTTTCCTTCTCAGATTCTGAACCTTGAGCTATATTCATTCTGAGATCTAAAAGTAGTTAATGACTGAATTTAAAAAAAACAAACACATATGTACAGATTCATAAAACTACTACCAATTTTGAGACCTTAGATGATCTAAGATAGAAACCACACAAACGCACACACGTTCAAAAAGTTAATGCACTTACTGCATTTAGGAAGGTTATTCCCTTCTGTGCAATGAGAGCATTAGTCTTCTTTAGGGGGGTCTGGAAGAAAGGTACCAAAAGGAAATCAGCTAAACACGTAAGGATGCTAGGCAAAGTATAGGAGTTAAACAGTCGTATGACTACCTGGAAGAAGGGCCACCACCACGGTTCTTAGGCAGTGCCCAGGCAAGCCACTCAGAGTGCCTCTTCGCTTGGGCCTCCAGTGACCGTGACGGTTACGCAAGGGAGCCCGAGAGCAGAAGTGGGGGGAGTTCTCAGGGGCTACCTGCGGCTGCACTGAAGAAGCCGCAGCCCTCGACTCCCTTGAGCCTCAGTGGCTCCCCTAAGAAGCTCCGCTCACCCGATGAAGCCCACCGTGCCGCTCCCTTAGCGGGGCAACTCGGTCCGAGGCCGCGGAGACTTTGTCCCCGGCTGGGGGCTGGGCCTTGGCTGCGCCGCTTGTCGCCTCAGGCCCAAGCCGCCGCTCCTCCGCGGCCGGAG